TATGGAAGCAGAAACCACTGTCATAGAATTATGGAATTCTAGAACCACTATACTCCTCAGAAACAATCTTCTATAACCTTCTTATTTTACAGCTAAGGAAACTGAGGACCAGACATTTTAAGTTGCTAATAAAAGATCTGAAAGCAAGCAGTGCTAGATAGAGCAAATTCCCTATTTCCTTTAATTTATTTTTCTTAAAGGTACACTATAAATAATTAGGAGAAGTAAGGCTGTAATAGTGTTATCTATTGATAATCACCCATGCTAGGCAGAGCATAGTACTTATGCTTCTTCTGTAGACTTAGAACAGTTAAAAGTGGATATCTTTTATTTAGACAATTGGGGAGATCTAAATAAGTTCTATAGCTTAGATAACAGAATAAAATCTATGTTAAAAGTTGTATGTGGTCATATAAGAAAATATCCTTGTATTGGGGAATTATATACAAGTATTTAGGGGTAATGAGACGTTATGTCTGTAGTTTACTTTTAGATGGTTCAGAAAGTGTGTGTGTGGGAGAGAGAGAGAGAGAAGTGGCTTGAATTAGAATAACAAAAAGATGAAAAGAAATGCACCAGACTAAGGATGTAATTTAAAGTAGTCAAAAGACTGGTTGATGGTTTAGACATACTATAGCTAAAGCAAAAAAGAATCATGGGACACTCACATATTTTTTTAGTTGGACTGAGTGATTGAGATAGGGAAGACTGGGGTGATGAACATGTTTGGTAGAAAGTAGCACCAAAAGTATGCCAAGAATTCTATTTTGTCCGTGCCATACTTCAAGTACCAACATTGAAATTATGTAGAGATATCAAGTATGTGGTTGGATATAAGAATCTGAAATATTAAAGGGAAGACAGGGATGGAAATATAGATTTGAAATTAATGTGATATTAAGTGCTTTTTTAAAATTTTATTTTATTAATATTATTTTTTAATCCTCACCTGAGGATATTTTCCCATTAATTTAAATATATATGTATATATATATATACTTTATTTTAGAGAGGAAGGGAGAGGGAGAGAGAGATAGAAACATCTATGATGAGAGAGAATCATTGATCGGCTGCCTCCTGCATGCCCCCTACTGGAGATCAAGCCTGCAACCCGGGCAATGTGCCCTTGACCAAAATTGAACCTGGGACCCTTCAGTCCACAGGCAGATGCTCTATTCACTGAGCCAAACCAGCTAGGGCTTTCCATTGATTTTTAGAGAGAGGGAAAGACAGAGAAAAATATTGATGTGAGAGAATACATCGATTGGTTGCCTCTTTCACCAGCCCCTACCAGGGCCCAGGCCTGTGAGGAACCTGCAACCAAGGTACATGACCTTGACCAGAATTGAACCCGGGACCCTTAGGTCTGCAGACAGACGCTTTGTCCACTGAGCCAAATTGGCCAGGGAGATGTGCTTTTGATGAAAAAACAAAAACACAGAGATTTGATTGTACCCTAGAAATACCTGGAGGTTACCTCATTTAAGAAGGGGCAGCAAAGAAAATGAACCATCACTATGCTATGTCTAGTTTTTACTACAGCTAGCACCATGAATGCTTTTCAAATTCATTTGATTGTATTATAGTCTTCCAAGAGGTCTGGAACATGAAGGTGACCATTGGTGATTCTATATTCATTTTTAGCTTATTGTTCCTGGGACATGACTGGAGGTGAAAGGAATGGAGAACATATGAACAGGGAAAGTCCGATATTTCTCAAAACAAATGTAATTCATTGAAATAGCATATACAGTGGGGCCTTGACTTACGAGTGTCCCGACTAATGAGTTTTTTGAGATACCAGCTGTCTCTCCGCTGATTTTTTGCATTGAGTTGACAGAGTAATTTGAGTTAAAGAGCTCCTTAACGAGCTTGGTCTCGGAACGAATTAAACTCGTAAGTCAAGGCCCCACTGTATAAAGCGGACATCTGTAATATTTTCAACAATAAAGATAAATTTAAAAAAGGAAATAGCATGTATATGACTTAACAGCAATAGAATTCCAAAATAAATATCCTTTTAATTTCATTATAATTCCTTCCTCAATATTCCTGCAAAGATAAATATATATAGCCTTGCTACTGACATAACCCTTCAAATAGTTTAAAATAGAACAGCATTCGGATTCCATGCCAAAGCAGATGGAACTGTCAGAGTAGGCAGTTAGTTATTAACGAAAGAGAAAGGAGGCAGACATCTGGTTAAGCCTGATTAAGTCAGGAAATGAAGTTTCAGTCACCCTGGGGAGTAACCAGCATCATTTTGGACAACATCCCCTCTAGTCAACAAGGCAGGAAAGTCAGCCTTACAATTACCCCAAGTGGTTACAGGCTTGGGGGGCGGGCTTCACAAAATGGCAAGGGGAAATTCCTTTCACTAAGTGCATGCATAGTAGAAGCCAAGATGAAGCAGAGGGATTCTTTTTACTAAGTGCATATATAGTAGAAGCCAAATAATGAAACAAAACTATGAAGCATGCACAGTAGAAGCCAAAATGGTGACCATAAAGGGGGAAGAGACTAACCTGGGAAAATCTGAGAAAAGGATCTGATTGGAGAATGGCACAAGATCTCAGAAAACCTAGGAAAGAGATTGGATGGGGGTGGGGGGGTGGGGATGGCACAAACAAAAGCCTGGGAAAAGCCAGGAACCCAGCTCACATCCTCCTTGGGGCACATCCGTGTCCTTTTCTCTCTTGGACATGTACTTTTTGCCTTATTTTCTCCTAAACTCTAAGGGTCCCTGTAAGACTTGCAACCAGAGGAGCAGCGAGCAATGGCAGAGCACTCTTTTGCCTCTGTAACATCCTTTCTTGTGTCCATGCAGACACTACCATAAAGCCTGCCCACTCTCTGTTCCTCTGAGAGTGTACTATCTCTTTTTGCTCTAATAAATCTGCCACTATCATTTAAATCTCTTCTTACATGAGTGTCCCTGAAATTCTTCCCCCAAGACACTGTGGAAGAACTGCAGCCTCTGGTACCAGAAATATAACAAAGCCCTGGTGTTATTTCTAAAATTATAACACATTTATATAGCACTTTATAATTTATAAAGTCTTTTTAGCAACATTATCCCATTGTTCTTCCCCACAGCTTTGCAAGGTAAATAAGATATATATTATTATGAATAAGGAAAAATGACAGCCTCTGGAAATGAGGTAGCTTGTTTAAATTAAAATGACTATTTTAAGTGACAAGACTATGCTTAAAAGCTAGATCTTCTAACTCTGGGGCTAGTTCTCTTCCTCTGATACCATAAAGCTTCTTTCCTTTTTTTATAACATGGTTAAGTAGATATTTGTTTCCTCGATTTCATATTGCACAGAACTGAGTTAACTTACAGTGAAATGAATGCCTTGACATTATGAAATTATAAAATTATATATATATATATATCAGAAAGAGCTAAGATCAGAATTTATATTTCCCGAGTTGCTGTTTCCACTGATGATTCAGCTAGAGATGTTTATCACTGTAAATCACGGTTTTTGCTACATAAGTACTTTGAGCCAAAACCTCTGAGCAAAATATGCCTGACATAAATTCTCTTATGAATGGTTATAATTCAATTTCTTACCATATTTACTGCATTTTTTAAGTTTCCAAAGAGATAATGTTTATATTACATAAACGTGCATGTTTTTAAATACCTTTTGCAGAAGGAAGTTTAAAATTGCTGAAGCAGATGTGACTATTGCCAAAAAAAAAAATGAGGAAGTTAAACAAAACTAAATATAAAAATGTTAGAATATCAGATGTTAGAATGCTTGAGTGGATGCATTGTGGCAGTCACACTTGGGACATCTTACATTTTACATTTTGGAGACATGTTTTACACAAAGGCCCTATTTACTGAAAATGCTCTTATATGGGTATATGATGGGTGATCTATTTTTGTTTTAGAAGAGGCATGAGTGCAGTTTAAGACTAGCCCAAAGAATCACACTGTACTAGATGTTTATAGACACTGATAAAATTTCTCACAACCTATATACCTCATTAATACTGATAATTATGCTTAAAATAAGTTGAGTCCTATATGTATCATTATTCTCTTTTTACCAGAAGGAAATAGGTTCAGGGAAATTAAAATAAGTTTCCTATTATCACACAATTAATAAATGATGAAGAATTAGTAATTATTTAGCTTGTTTATATCTCTCAATGAAACAAATAACATATTTTGAGAAATCAAGTAAATTATAATAACTATTAGAAATGTTTTTTTTTATCATGGTTTCCCCAGGGCAGATGTCTGGCTGGGCCTATGCTCTTGCTGGAACTCATGCTGAATTAGCACCTCCTTCCTCTAGCCACACCCAGGGCTGAGAGCTGATCTTCACTTGCTTATGTTTACCTTTGAGACAAGAAATTTAGTCTCTAACATAGAAAACATAGGAAAAACTGAAAATGCAAAAGAATAATAGATTTATTTGCAGAAATAAACATGTTCTTGGAACTAAAAGCCAGAGCATGGCAGGTCTGCAAACACTCTGGATCTCTGGCCTTCTTCCACTTGACCTCTGCCTGTTCAAATTTGTTTTTTCTTTCCAAACTTCGGATAAAGCTAGCGATGGATGTGCTGCCTTTATTGGACGGGGTTTCATAGTCAGTCTTCCCAGCACTGAAAGGCTGAGGTTGAGAGACCTCTGTTTAAGTCTGTGAGAACATTACTAGTAAGTTCAGACTGCAGTTCTGTCTCAGCATCTGTGGGGGTGACCTCAGCCCAGGTGGCACAGAGCCCACGCTGGTGTCCGGGGTGTGCTCCCTGCAGGCCCAGCTCACCATAGATGCCTCTTCTCCTGAGTCTCTGCCACCTTCCCCGGTCCTCAGGCTAGAAGTTCTGGTTTCTCTCAGAATCTGAGATGCCTCTCCCCCCATGCGCTGTGCCGAAGCTTCACATAACTGGGTGGTTATTAGGGCAAAGTGGAAAGAGTAAAAAAAGAGAAAAATAATCAGGATTCCCCCAAAATTGTGGAAAATGGGCCCTGGCCCATTTTCCCAGGTCCTCACCAGAAACCAGTTTTCCGTGGCATTTTAGGAGCTTAATTCCTGTTCTGGTTGCAGCTTCAGGGTAGGTGCAGGGCCAGGAGAGAAGAGGGAATGTTCCCGTGCAGTGCCCCCCAGTCTGGCTCCGACAGCCCTTTGTCCAGTCCTCTCTGTGTCATTCCAGTCCTGCCGTGATTAGGAGGGAAAACCAATCAGCTCACCTCTAGGCTGCTCATTTGTCAGGTTCTATATATTTTTATTGATTTCAGAAAGGAAGGGAGAGGGAGAGAGATAGAAACATCAATGATGAGAGAGAATCATAGATAGGCTACCTCCTGCACGCCCCACAATGGGGATCGAGCCCGCAACCCGGGCATGTGTCCCTGACCAGAATGGAACCAGGGACTCCCCAGCCCGCAGGTCGACACTCTATCCACTAAGCCAAACCAGCTAGGGCATATGTCAGGTTCTGACTTCCCGCTCAGTCTGCCTGTGGCTGCTTCCTTTCCAGAGTCTGCAGTTTCTAGCCTTTTCGATTCTGTCCCTAGCTCGTGGTGATCATCAGTGAGGGGACGGCTGGCTGTGGACCTGCTCCACCTTGGTGGCTCCAGAATATTGTGTTATCTTTTTTTTTTTTTTAAAAGAAGAAAGGGAAGGAAGAAAGTGAGCCTGGACAGCAAGTAGACTTTCTTTAGAAATAAATGAACAGTGTCTTTTCTCATAGACCTTAGAAGTGCTCTGTTGGTTGGTATGAGGTACTTTTTGTTTTCCTCTCTGGGTATTCTTCCTGAAAAAGGTGGACGGAGTTGGCAGCACAGATATGGGGACAGAGGGTGAGCGTGCAGTCCCGGGTTTCGAGAGGCATGGTGTTCACACTGTTCTGCATTTGTGAGCCTCTCTCGCCTTGTGGTTCAGGATTGGCAGTAGGTGGGACCAGCTCCTCCTGTGCCTTCCTGATATGCCCGTCTGTTGGTCCTGCATGCCATTGTCAGTTGAATGTGGAGGGTCAGCAGGCCTCCAGGGCACTTAGTGAAGCCACCTGTCTGAAAGCCCTGGGTCCCTGAGTCACTGTGCGGAGAGGAAGAGCCACAGTGGTTCCCAGGCCCACAACATGGAACACAAATAGATTTACTGGGTTCAGACATTGGAAAGTCCGTTATTACCTTAACAGACACAGTCTTTGATGGGCAATTAGAATCTCCCGGGCTTAACCTCTGAGTAAGTGTTGGACTTTTGATGAGTTACTTTTCGTCTCTCATCTTGGTTTAACCTCCTGCAGAACAGAGCCGTCTCTGGAAGAAGAGAGCATGTAGAGATAAGGTAGTATTATCATCAAATTTTGAGCACCATAATGCCAAATACACAGAGAAAAAATATTAATCATCCCTTACCTTTGATAGAGTGTAAGCACCATTTCTGCAGTTGTGATCTGCAGATCATTTAAAAGCATAGACTTCCTACAATGGTGCCACCTTCCCTCTGATCATCACATGTCCTTGAATCGTGTCAGATATAAATATTGCTACCTCAGCCATTTCCCTCATTTCCATTTACATAAAATGTCTTTTTTTTATCCCTTTCCTTTTAGTCTGTGTGTATCTATTATTTTGATGTGCGTTTCTTGTAGACAGCATACATATGGGTCTTATTTCCTTATCCATTCAGCTACCCTATGTCTTTTGATTGGAGCATTTAAAGTGATTATTGATAGGGTAGTATTTATTGCCATTTTATTCTTTTAACTGTGTTCGTGTTGTTTTTTCTTTTTCTTCAAGAAGATCCTTTAATAGGCACTGTATTACTGATTTGATGGTGACAAACATTTTTAGTCTTTTCTTGACTGAAAAGCTCTTTATTTTTTTTTTCAATTTTAAATGCTGGCCTTGTTGGGTAGAGTAGTGTTGGCTTTAGTTTATTGCTTTTTATCACTTTGAATAATTTGTTCTAAACCTTTCTCTCCTGAAATGTTTCTGTTGAGAAATCAGACCTATAGTTGCTCCCTTGAAGGTAACTCTCTCTCTTGCTGATTTTAAGATTCTTTGTTTTTAACCTTAGTCATTTTAGTTATGATGTGTCTTGGTGTGGACCTCTTTGAGTTCATCTGCTTTGGGACACTCTGTGCTTCCTGGACTGGTGTGTCTTTTTCCTTCACCAGGTTAGGGAAGTTTTCAATTATTTCTTCAAATAGGTTCTCAATCCCTTGCTCTATTTGTTCTTCTTCTGTTACCCCTATGATGTGGATGTTGTTATGCTTCATGTTTCAAAGGTCCCTTAAACTATCCTCATTTTTTAATTTTTTTTTTTTTTTTTTTTGCTGCATTGAATGGGTGTTTTCTGCTACCCTGTCTTTGAAATTGCTTATTTGATCCTCTGTTTCATCCAATCAACAGTTTATTCCTTCTAGAGTATTCTTCATTTCAGATATTGTATTGTTAATTTCTGATTGGTTCTTTTTTTGTTTCTATTTCCTTTTTCATGCTATCTCTTTGTTTATGTTCTCACTGATTTCATCCATTCTTTTTCTAATGAGCATCAACATATCCACTGCTTTGATCTCTACATCTGGCAGATTGCTTGCCTCTACTTCATGTAACCTTTTTTTCTTTCTAATTTATTCTGTTCTTTCATTTGGGGCATGTTTCTTTGTCTTCCCATTGTGGCTGTTTCTTTGTTTCTATTTATTAGGTAGATATGCTTTGGTTCCCGCTCTTGATAGGGTGGCCACCATCTTAGACCTCTAACAGTGTATTTCCTTTTAAGAAGGAATAATATTGTATTGGTGGACCCACCTTGTGTTTATCCATTCATCCATCACTGGAATACCTGAGTTGCTTCAATGTTTAGCTATTGTGAATAACACTGATGTGAACATGGGTGTGCATATATTTCTTCAAGACCCTGCCTTCAATTCTTTAACCCTTTGCGGTCCAATGTTATTTTTGGAATTCAAACAGTCTGGTCCAAATTAATTGACGGGATTGAATGTTGAACTTTTTAATGTTCTTATTGCTTGACGTTGGACCTGCTCCTAGCGCGTGGTCTGTCGAGTCAGCCTCGAGGTTGGACTGAAAAGGGTTAAAATATATATTTTTTAAATTATATTTTATTGATTTTTTTTACAGAGAGGAAGGGAGAGAGATAGAGAGGTAGAAACATCGATGAGAGAGAAACATCGATCAGCCGCCTCTTGCACACCTCCTACTGGAGATGTGCCCGCAACCCAGGTACATGCCCTTGACCGAAATCGAACCTGGGACCTTTCAGTCCGCAGGCCGATGCTCTATCCACTGAGCCAAACCGGTTAGGGCTTCAATTCTTTAAGTAAATATCCAGAAATGGGATTGCTGGATCACATGGTAGTTCTATGTTGTTGTTTTTTTCTTGAGGAACCTGCTTTCCACAGCAGTTGCACCTGTTCACATGTTTAACTTGAGGGTACAACCATCTGTATATTGTATGCCCACCACCTGGCTTTCATTGTAAGAGTGGAATTAAAAGGTTGAAACAGACCACATCTTTAGACTTAAGGCATATGGAACCCATAGCTTGAGATTAGCCATGTGAGCTCAAGGACTCTACAGTGAGTCCATGGGTTCTCAGAGGCCTAGGAGCTGCTTCCTGCTGTGGGCAATTCATGGGTCTTCTGGGATGGGGCAGAGGAGCAAGAGCATGATTAGGTCATGCAGCTGCAATCTTATCATTGTGTCATGAAAGTTTAGTCCCTTTGTGTGTGGCTGACCCTAGCAGATGCCTCCCTCCATTTCTTTCCTAACAGAACTATAGTTCTATTCAGATGTTCCATCAGATATATGTTCACTGGCTTCCCAGGCAGGACTCTTCCAGCCTTTTGCCCCTAAGGCATGGTGAGCCAGGCTGGCTGGGGTGCAGGGGAGGGCAGAGGGCAGATAAAGAGCCCTCGGGTGGGTTGAAAATGCTATTAGATCCATTAAGGCTTTTAGGCATGAGAATGACATGATCTGATATATGTATATGTATATGTGTGTGTGTGTGTGTGTGTGTGTGTGTGTGTGTGTGTGTATGCACTGGCAGATCCAGTGTCTGGTGAAGGTCTGCTTTCTACTTGTAGACAGCTGTCTTCCTGCTGTAACATTACATGGTAATTTATATTTTTTAAAGATGACTCTGCAATTTTACATTGGAAATATTTGAGATGTGTCTTTTTCTTTTTCTTAAATTTATTGGGATGGCACTGGTTAATATAGGTTTCAAGTGTAAATTTCTATGATATATAATTTGTATATTTTATTGTGTGCCTACCACCCCAAGTTAAATAATCTTTCGGTTATATGTACATTTGGCTCCTTTATCCTTTACTACCATCCATGCCCGTTCCCACAGGTAACCATCATACTGTTTTCTGTGTCTATGAGTTTCAGTTTTATATCCCACATATGAGTAAAATCATGTGGTTCTTAGCTTTTTACGACTGACTTATTTCTCTTAGCATAATATTCTCATGTTGTTGCATATTGCATTTTTCATCTTTTCTTGTGGCTTGAGATGGGTCTTGAAAGCACAGGTAGGATTTAGACAGATGAAGAGGGTGAGGAAAGTGCTTCAGGTACAAAGAGTGGGCACATAGCCTGAAGGCAGGAGAGATGAAGGACCTAGCACACACCCTGCAGAGGCCTGGGGGGCAGGGCAGGGGAGCAGAAGACCCTCTATGGAAGGGACAAGGCAGAGGGGGAAAGGGACCATCCATAGAGGGAGCAGGGCAGGGGGAGAGAGGACCCTGTCCCTTCCGTGAAGGATCCCGTGTCCCCTGCCCTGCCTTCTCCATGGAGAATCCTGTGTCCCCTGACCTGCCTTCTCCATGGAGGGTCCCCTGTCTTCCCTGGAGGAAGAAGAGATAAAGACTGGAGACCTGAGCACAGACCTCCCAGAAGCCTATGAATGAGGGGACAGGGCAGAGAAACAGAAGACCCTACATGGAGGGGGCAGAGTAGGAAGGACAAAGGACCCTTCATGCAGGAGGCAAGGCAGGGGGACAGGGAACCCTCCATGGAGAGGCAGGGTACTGAAACAAGGGACCCTTGCCTGGAATAATAGTGTTGTTAATTTGCCATTTGCTTGGAATGTTGTTGCTTTTTAATTTGTCTAACTAAGAGATATTATCCTGTATGCTATTGGTTTGTGAAATGCCTACTCTGAGCCTTTGTTAAACAAATTGCTGGGCAAAGACTAATCAATCTCTGAGCATAATTTTGATTCCCAAAACAAATAAAACATAAATTTATATACTATTTGAGGAAATAAAGCTTTTTCTCCTCTTTCTCAATAGTAACATCTCTCATTGTAGTGTGCGCCTATAGGAATCAGGAATGTAATATCTGTTACTGATCTATCCTCTCCTATATAATAAAAGGCTAATATGAAAATCGACTGAATGGTGGGACAACTGGTCGCTATGATGTGCACTGACCACAGGGGGCAGATGCTCAACACAGAGCTGCCCCCTGGTGGTCAGTGGGCTCCCCCAGGGGAAGTGCTGTTCACCCAGAACCCAGGCTCATGGCTGGCAAAGCACAGCGGTGGGGGCAGGAGCCACTCTCGCCTCCGCAGCAGCGTTAAGGCCCCCGTGGGCGATTTCCGCCTCCCGGAAGTGGGCTTAAGCTGGCATTCGGACTTCCCCCAAGGGTCCCGGACTGCAAGAGGGTGCTGGCTTGGCTGAGGGACCCCCCCCCCCCCCCCAGTACATGAATGTCGTGCACCGGGCCTCTAATGTTATATAAATGCCAAAATTACAGTTGTATTTATGGCCAGTAAGTAGAGCCTATAAACATTATTAAATTGTTTTAAAAATAACAGAGAATAGTTATCTGGGAGGCACAAAAAAAGAAATTGCTTTGTTGGAGATTGTTAACCTAAAAATAAAATATCTTTCAAAGGGGCAACAAGCATTTATTTGAGATAAAAAAAAAATCTATTCAGAAAGCACTGATTTAGATAGAAGCCCACAAAATATTCTGATAAAGAGACAAAGGCAAGGGGTGTTTATGAGAAAGGGAAGGACAATTACATCAGTAGAGGAAGGCCTTTCTATGAGTACAGAAAAGCTAACATAGTGATATTAATTCTAAACAATTTTCAGTCTGTGAGTCATCAGTCTTATAATATCTGCTTTCTTATTATCTTTGCAAATAGTTTTTTGGGACACAATGTTGTTTCAGGCCCAGTCCAAAGGTGATTTTGCCCTAATTTAACATTCCAAAGATTTGAGGCATAAGACGTGCGGGGCAGCAACTCTGGAATGGCAGCTCTGGCTCCATTTTAAAGTGGTTCCATCTATTATTATTTTTTTTTTTTTTTACAAGACTACCTCAAAGATTTTCCTCTTATATTGTCTGCCTGTGGGGCCCCTCAGGTGATTCCAATGTAAACCAGGGTGGAGAAGTACTGTGTCAGATGATCTTTAAGCTCCCTTCCTGCTCCAAAATTAGTTGTTTCTAATAATAGAGTTACATTTTTGTTTCATTCAAATAGTTAAATTTAAACATTTGCCAGTTATTTGAATTTATTTTTATATTTTCATTATTTAACTCTCAGGAAGGATATTCAAGTCAAAATGTAAAAGTGTCTCCTGTTACAATACTTATTTGTAAAACAAACAAATCTAAGCAAAGAAGAAACTTTAAAAAATAAGCCTGTGAGCAGAATTCAAAATTATGTGTAGATAAGGGGCAATAAATTTCCAAGTTAATTAAACCTAGACTTTTAAGAAAAGATGAAAACAAAACTGCACAGCCAGGAAATATAAAAATTAGAATAGATCCCTGAGGAAACCCAGGCAGGAAAAATTAAGGACATTTTTATGTAGAGTTGGTGTCAGGAAACTTAAGGAAAAAGAATGGAAAAAAAGAGATTAAACCAATGGTATAGCAAATGAAGAGATGGTGCAGGTGACCTGGGAGAGAAGCTGGGTGAAAGGCATGAATTATGAAGGAAGGCGCTGCCCTGAGAAAAAGAAGCTCAACCTCTTCACTAGAGTTAGAGGGAACAGCAAACGGTCCAGGCCTTAGGGGTTGAGGGAGAGACCATCACATCTTCATCATCAACTAGGTCATTTAAGAACAATTTATGTCAAAATAACCATTATAGATGTACCTAAGGAACATACAATACATATGAGGCTCACTGGACTCACTACCAATTCACATTTAAAAAAAGATCAGAAAGCCCTAGCCAGTTTGGCTCAGTGGATTGAGTGTTGGCCTGTGGACTGAAGGGTCCCAGGTTCAATTCTGGTCAAGGGCACATGTCTGGTTGCAGGCTCGGTCCCCAGTAAGGGGAGTGCAGGAGGCAGCCGATCAATGATTCTCTCTCACCATTGATGTTTCTGTCTGTCTCCCTCTCCCTTCCTCTTTGAAATCAATAGGCTCAGAGCAGGCATTTCACAAACCAACAGCATACAGGATAATATCTCTTAGTAAGACAAAATATTTTTTTAAATGTTTTAAAAAAAGATCAGAAATATATTTTTAAGAAAAGGTAGCCCACGGAAGCCACCTTTCCCTTATATTACTTGACATTCAAGAGCCTTTAAAACAACATAGTTAATATACCAGAGCAGCATATATTTGGGATGGCAATATGCCAGAGCAGCATATATTTGGGTGGTTTATAGAAACCACCTTCTCCTTATATTACTTGACATTTTAGAACATTTTAGGTTTTGATGTCTAGTTGTTAATGTTCCACATTCTTCTTCTAAAAATGAGGTTCACATGGCCATTGTGCAGAACATTTGTAAGACAAAGGAAAACACACTCCCTGAGAGACCTCCAATCCCAGCACCTTGATATAAATATCAATAATATTTTTGGCATTTATATTTACATTTTTTCATATGAAGTTTGTATGAATTTGCAACCTTAACTTTAGATGTGCAAAAATGGAAGGCAAGATTTGGGCCCTCATGATCTGCATGCCCTGGTGTTAGGTCTATGACTGTGTTACTTTACACAACAAAAGGGAATTAAGGTTGCAGATGGAATTAGGTTGCTAAGCAGTTAACAAAATAGGGAGATTATACTGGGCTACTTGGGTGGAAATGGAAGTAGAAAAGGAAGTCAGAGAGATGTGACTGTTAGGAAGAGGCAGGAGAGATTCGAATCATGAGGGGGACTCAACCTGCCACTACTGGCTTTGATGATGTAGCATGGGGATCATGAGCCAGAAGGAGTTTAGAATATGCTACCCCAAATATATGTTGCTCTGGCATATTGACTATTTTGTCTTTAAGGCTCTTGAAAAACAGCAAATATAAGAAAAATACTTAGATTTTTCTTTAAAAGCAGGGGATGAACTACCTATATGAAAGATGTCCTCCCTATACCATAAGAAAAATACATTCTAATCATCAAGGACAGGAAGTTGAGATAAAGAGAATTCTATATAAACAGACCTTGTTAAAATAATTCTTATCTTCCTTAAGCCTGCCCACATAGCTGAGTCACCTTTTCACAATTGCCTCTCTTTGTTCTAATATAAAAGTGAATTGGTTTCACAATTTCTTTGGGTCTTTGTGCCTCATGAAAGCTCCTAAGTCATGAAAAGCTTGTTGAATAAATGTGTATGCTTTTCTTCTGTTGATTTGTATTATGTCAATTTAATTCTCAGACCCAGCCAAAAGGAACCCTAAGAGGTTTTGTAGGGAGCAGCTATAGGGTCAAGCTTCGGATTGTCCTGTGGCAGGGCCACAAACAAGTCCCAGCATGGAGGGCAGAGCCCTCCTAGCATAATTAAGCTTGACTTTATAGTCCTCCCTTGTTCCTTCCTAGGTAGTTAATGGGCTGTGGGAGGTGCAGCAAGTGCTGCCAAAACAAGCTGAAACTTGCAAGATCAGTGTAAACATGTTGACCACTTCCCTTGTTTTGCTTTGTGTGCTCTGACTATAAAATAAAGCTTCAGCTTACAGGCTGGGTCTCTCTGTGTCCTCATCCAGGCACAAGTGATCCACCTAGCCCCAACTGTATTCTCTTACTCTGTCTTCTTTAATCCTTCACCGCCCCTCCTCAGGTTCAAGTTTTAATAAAGATAACCGTTTGCCATCCCTACAAGTGCCCTCTAGAACAGTGATGGCGAACCTTTTGAGCTCGGCGTGTCAGCATTTTGAAAAACCTTAACTTAACTCTGGTGCCGTGTCATATAGAAATTTTTTGATATTTGCAAACATAGTAAAACAAAGATTTATATTTTTGATATTTATTTTATATATTTAAATGCCACTTAACAAAGAAAAATCAACCCAAAAAATGAGTTCGTGTGTCACCTCTGACACACGTGTAATAGGTTCGCCATCACTGCTCTAGAAGATGGGAACAGCCCTCTGTTGATAGCCAGCAAGTAAATAACAACCACATTCCTGCACTGATAAATTGGTTGTATCCCTTAAAGGACTTTTGCTTCCCATCTTGGTATCTTGGCATTTCCCAGAGGTTGGGTCACTGATGGTCTTTATTCTTATACAGGGTCCGTCTCAGGCTAGTAACCTCACATAAAGTAGCAGCCAGCTGGGTGGGTAATACATTTCCCCAGGCTTTTAAAGTCAGGCTTCATAAAACTGGATATTGGGTGAATTTCTTGCTTTCCATACGGGAAACAACTCTTTTTTTTCTCTCTCCCAATTTGGTTCTTTGATTCTGATCAACCTCTGGGAAATAGGTTATACAGAAACAAGGATGGAGCAAGGGAGCACTTATGATCCTATGGTAAAATCCTAGGCAAGAGATGATAGGACTTGAACCAGCGCAGAAGTGATAAATGGTTGCATTTTGAATACTTTCAAGGGTAGAACCAGTGATTTGACATGGGGTGTTAAGTCAAATATAAGCAGGTTTGTCAGGACTCACCTGCCTTCACATACCTCATTATTGGGAGTCCAAAGGGACCATTACTAGTAAATGACTTAAGGGAACATTTCACATCTTGAAACTAGAAATGAGAGTATAAAGGTTATCACACATGAGAATTTAATTTTAGTAGTTAAAGACTTGGTTCTCCAACCTAAATCTACAGCCAATATTTATTTATTTTTTTTGATTCGTCTCCTTTTCTACGGTCTTTGGGTTTTGATTATCTTCCAATTCCAGCTGGCATAAGTGCCAGTTCTTTCCCCTATCCTGCATCCATCACCCGTGCATGGTTCAGCCTTTTCTTATCCCTCCCTTACAGAAGTAGTCCAAAAGAAATGATGGCTGCTGTTTGCAGGGGAAGAGAATACAACGTCGTTGAAAACAGCCCTCTATTCTATTCAAAAACTTGACTTTACATTACTGAAAACCGAATAGTGAAATAAAACACTTTAAGAAATACAATATTGCTCTATGACTGTTAGTGGTAAATCTACTTTATTGGTGGAAGTAACGTAAAGTATTAATAAATTAAAAGAAGCAGTATCATTTTGGGCAAGTAGAATTTCCGCTTTCGTTGTAAGGCGGACTTCATTTTGGCTTTTAAAAAACTGCGGGCTCTACTGCTGTTATCCAGGAGCTGTAAAAACTTGGGCAAGGTAGTTTACTTTTACTTTCTCTGCCCCCCCCCCGCCCCCCCCACCCCCCATCCATAAAATCTCAACCCTCCTATTGCCTCCTGATCGTAGGGGCCTTGGAAAACTCAAAACCTCATTTAACAAAAACTTGGTGTCTACTGTACGCTTGATGCCGGGAGAAATACCAAGTACAAGATACAGGACACAGGTCCCTGCCTTTTTAGAGCAAGAAGTTTGCATGAATCGGGCAAGAGTGAATCCAATTTTCAGTCAGTGCAACATCTCCTGGGTTGGCCTTTAGCTATCACGTACATCAGCTGCTGACAACTGCTGTGAACACTCACCCAGCAAATTCTTCAAGGGCCATGCTAAGGCGGAAAAGGCTGAATTCCATCTTATTTTCGCTTTTAAAGAAGTGAAATTAAGGACGGTTCACTGGCTTTGCTACTGCGGCGTTTTCAGAGGGTATTCCTTTACCTGCCCCAGCGCCGCTAAGCTAACCTCACAGTTCCCCACCCACAAGCCACACTTCCCAGTCTGGTTCTTGGTGGAAGGTCGCACTGGACATTGACCAATGGGCTCGTTCCTTCTCCGCGGAGGGGCGGGACCGTGGGGCGTCAACTTCGGAGGCCCGCCCCCGGACGTGGCGTGCGTGCGTGGCGGCGCGCGGCGCGAGCCGGGTTCTTTGGGCGTGTGGCGCCCCCCTGGCGGCAGCGGGGACTCAAGTGTGAACAGCCGGAGCTGCGTCCCCGCCATGGACCCGCAGAAAGAGGCGCGAACACCCCGGGACCCGGTCGCGCGGCCGCCGGCCTCGCGGTCTCAGACGCCGAAGGAGGAGGAGCGGCGGGAGAGCGGCGAGGCGCCGGCGGCGGCCCTGGGCGAGGAGGCGGACGACAGTGCGGACGGGCTGTGGGAGCTGCCGGTGAACCGCTGAGCGGAGGCCCGAGTGCAGCCGGTGCAGGTGACGGGGAGCGGGGAGGAGGAGGAGGGGCGCGGGGCGGGGCGGCTCCGGGGAGGCTGCGGGGCGCTCCCCGACGAGCGAGGAGCGCCGGCTCAGGCGTCGCAGCGCTTGGGGTGCGGGCCCGCTGGCTGACCTCGCAATTACGGAGCACACTTGTCACTGCTTTTGAGTAAGAAGCCGCTTATGTAGGTTCGCTGTTATGTAGCCTTACTCCCCGCAAGACCCGGAGCGCGTCACGTGATCAGCGGACTTCAGTTCTCCTGTCAAGAAACTTAAGAGTGATGGGAAAGAAGGCTTAATGGCAGTAATACTTGTAACTGTTAACACCGTTATGCATAAGCGACAGTCATCTCACAAATAAAAACAAAACAGAATGCATTAGAGGACAGAAACAAAGTGGCTATAGAGGCGTTGAAGATTATATTCAGAATTCTAAATTCCCTCGGAAATATTTACTGAGCACCCACTGTGTGCCAGGTCCTGGGGATGCAGGCATTTATGGATAAAACAGACGTGGCCTCTCACAGTCCGAGGACGAGATTCTGGACTGAACACGCAGCACCACCACCAGCTCACATTATTGAATGCTCACAACGCGCGCAATTGTGTGGGTACTTGTCAGGAGGGTTGTGAGGATTGCTTTCCCTGCTTGTTCGAACTTTTTGCTATTGAGATACACGATTCTCTTCCCGTCCTGGGTGTTCTGGATCCTTTTCCTTGGTTACTGAAGGTCTCCATCTATCACCTAGCTCACTGTTGCCCTCCACAATGTAACTGTTAGGCGGTGCCCCTGCGTCCTCACCTTGGAATCACACTGCGCTTAGTCACCAGATGTACACTGTCCTGAGTTGGCTCTCACTAAAGCCACCAGTAATATGCATAAGGTGAAATCCAACGGATCCCTTTCTGTTCAATTCTTACTAGACTTTTTGGCAGCATTCTGCAGTTGAATACTCACTTCTTTTTTTATATATATATAATTATCACTTTATTTTTTAAAAATGGTACAGCCGCTTTATTTTTATTTATTTATTTTTAATCCTCATTAGAGGATATTTTTCCATTCATTTTTAGAGAGAGTGGAAGAGAGAATAAAAGACAGAGAGCAATATTGATATGAGAGAAACACATTGATTGGTTGCCTCCTGCCCACACCCGGACCAGGGCCCAGGCCCAGGAGGAGCCTGCAACCAAGGTACATGCCCTTGACTGGATTAGAACCCCGGGACCCTTTAGTCCGCAGGCCATTGCTTTATCCACTGAGCCAAACCAACGAGGCCCAGGCAATACTCACTTCTTGAAACACGTTTTCTGTGGCTTCCCTTTGGTTTATCTGACTTCTTTGCCCTAGTCTTTTTTTCCTATTCTGCTTTAACTCTAAATGTTGCACTTCAGGTCATGATTCTAAATTCTCTTCCAATACCACACGCTTCCCACAAGTGATGTTATCAGTTTTTATGGGTAAGTTATCGCCTCTAACTCCAATATCTCTAGCCCAGCGATTTTCAACTTTTTTGATCTCATAGCACACGTAAA